TTGATACAAATAACTCCACTCTGCTGAGCAGTATGAGCTGTATAAGGTATGCCTTTCAGGGGAAAAAAAAGCCTTGCAGTCTGAATGCATTCATACTGTATCTTATTTACACATATTCATTAGTTCTGGGCCAGAGGACAGCAGAACACAGTCACTCCTGCTTTCCAGAGGCATACTTTAACACTCAGCTTGCAGAAAGCAGCTCAGCCTCAAAGTGATTTGAATCATAAATCAAATTTAATGGCAAGCAAGTGGATGGCTCATAAAATCCATTCCCAGGGACTGTTGCCCATACATGAAACCTGCAGCTAACCCAGCATATCTCATAAAAACCAAACATTCACTCTTACAGGAAGAAAACAGGAATTTAGAAGACAAATTCCACAGCTGAGCTCTGACTAGCCCCAATTTCTTCCAGTGCTTAACTTTGCCTAGCTAAAGCTTGCTCAAGGTCTTTACATTTTGCAGTGTATGTAAGGGCACCACGCAGTGATCACTACATTTTTAGAAATAGAGTCTGCATACATCTAATCTGAAAGACCATCCACTGTGATTAGGTATATGCCTATTAAATCCACTTCCAAACACATGTCAAACTCTAAAACCACACAGATTGTGACAGACTGGACTGTGCTGAAGCAAACAAATTGTATATCCAGACAGTGCTCAACAGACATCTCGTACTGCTTTCTGATTCCCTAAACTATTCTTAATCAGTGAGAGAATTTATTTGAGAGCTAAAGTTGATTTTAAGGGTACTAGATGTAGAAGCATCATCTGCAAACATTTGAGATTTCATTTAATATTACTTTATTAAGGACTAAGAATTCAAAGTAAATATACTACAGGTGAAAGTGGAAATCTAAGTCCTAAACCTAGTTCTGCTCCCATATGTAACTATGTTTACATTGACAAGTCACCTGTATCTCTGCTAAAATGGAAATAACATCCTTGCCTCTATTCCCAAAGGAAATACAGGGACGATTTATGGAGGACTGTAGTGTTCTTTGAAGAAATAAAATGCTACAGGAGTACAAGTGTTTTGAATACCTCACAGCAGCAAAGGGAGAAACATAAAACTACAGTGTGCTGAGAAATTGATGGTTATATACCTACATTCCCATTAAAGGGATGCTGATGGGATCACCATGATAAAACTACATAGTCAGTTCTTGCCTGTACTTTCTACTGAATACATTATGTCATTCTGTATTAAAGTTCTTTGTTTATGCAGCTTTTTTTTTTTTCCTGCTTACACATTAAGCTCAATTCTCAACAAATATTTTTAGGCAGAGAAACATGGAGAAACATGTAGTTTTTATTTGTTTAAATGATTTGTACCTGACATGTTCCTTTGAATGTTTACATTCTCAAATGCAATCTTGAAAATTGAGCATAATTTTAGGCAACAATCACATTGTATTTTAAATTCAGTCTCGCTCCACTGCCTCTTTTCTCCTTAATCCATGATTATTTATCCTGTTCAGTAAATTTATAGGAGGAACTTGTTCTGTCTGTTAGAAATTGGAATAAAATGTATCAGGCACTTTTCACCACTATTTTCAAGAAGCATTCAAGCAACAAAAAGGCGATGAGAGAACTTTTTTTCTTTTCCATGCTATGAAAAAGGAAAAAAAAAAAAAGGACTGGAGCAGATGTTATTAATGGGTAACAGAAAAACTCATTTCATCAGGTAACAAACATTCACAACAGTTGTCACTAAATCCTAATGAAGAAAGTGTCCCATCATTAGATGAAAAAAATTAAATATAATTTATTGCTTTCTTTAAAGTGATATGACTTAAGAGTCCTAATTCATTAGTAACAAAACTCAAAGATCTGGAGAATTCTGTATGATTTCCATATAATTTGCTGTGACTTACTGTCAGGGTTTTTTTTATTATGGAAATTACTTCACAACCTAGCAATGACAGGCAATAACTCAAACTCATTAACCTGTGAAGTACCTACTACTACTAGTCAGATATTTACTAATAATGAGTTAAATGACAAGAAGTCAGAATACAGTCAGAAGCGTGCATTTTCCAGCTCCAAAGGCAAGTGTCAGATAAGAGATTCCTTACAGGTAGCAAACTTCTCTATTTAGCAATCATTTTAATGTACTGTTGATATTATTTAAGTAGTTATACGGTCAGCTATGCCCCACTAATTGATATGTTTCCAGACAATATTTGTAGATATAACCTGTCTCTAAAGGCATCTGAAATTATAGACTACCCACCTTTCTTCAGAGCTTATTCCATATAAGATTATACTCTTCCTCACCTTGCTTTCAACTAAATGGAAACAGCTATACTGAGAATACAGAAACTGTTCTGCTGCGAGATCACTGTATTCCTGATGGCAATGTGGTATAAAATACTATTAGCAATCTAGTAATTGGTGGGACTTTTCCTTAATGCGATCACTTGGTAAATCCAACAGTTATTTTCCAGAGCACTTCGGTAACCAGGCAGAACAGTGCTTTCAGGCCCATATAGGTTAACCTATTTGCAGTTTAGAGACCTGCTTGCTAGAAAGACACAATCAGAAACAGGTGTTGTCAAATGTAAATATGAGGGGACTAGCATTAACCAGGATGCCAGTCTCTACCACTCTCTACAAGGGACTGCAAACCAAACAGCACATCTAGCTCCTCATCCAGATCAGCAGAAAAACTGGTTCTACTTTTGAGGAGACTGGGAGAAAAGGGGTGAAAAGAAATGGTTCTAAGTCACATTTAAGTATAGAATAGTGAAACTGTGTAGGAACACCTTGTCATGAAAGCAAAATTAATTGTAGCCCAACTGTTCTAATTTGTTCCTCCTGACTTTTCTTACAGCTCCCCTAGAGACCAGGCTTTCAGAACCTCTTTCCACCCCAGCTGGGTGCTGTTCAATTCTGTCTGAAAAAAACGTTTTTATGGAATAACTTATTCTCTGAAATGTGGGGAACCTTATTTTGTCATGGAAGTTCAGCAGGGCTGGTGGTCCCACTCACATCAAGCTGTATACTGAGTTGTCTTACAGAATTATGAAACAGATGCCCTTTGAAAAAAAAAGTGTAGAGAAAAAAACCCAATTCTTTTGAAAACAATATTTCTGCACCTGAAAAATGAGCAGTTACAGATATAAACAGAATTCATTATTTTGATATTCTGGGTTCTGATCAATGTCACTGTCACATTTCCTGTTTACCTGCTTTTGAGTTGTAATTAGAATTCACTTTAATGGCTTTTCATAGCACTTGTTCCTTATGTGAACATGGCTTGTTGGTTAGTTAACCTGTTGTTCTATTAAAGCAGATATGGTTGGTCAAATAAAAGCAGTTGATAGCTTATTTAGCTTCAGTTCTGCCTCTAGTTTTTATATATTTCAGCTCTAAAAAGTTAGAGCTGTAACTGACCTTTATTATCACCTGCTGCTCTTAGCAGCCCCCCAGGGTTATGGAGGCAGTTTCGTTCTGCAATTATAGGGGGGAATAAAGCAGTAGCTGAAAGAAGTAATGCCTCTTTCATTTGACTGTAAACTAGAGACTGTAATCTTGATTTTTTAAAGCAACTACTCTAAACTTTGTGTCTAAAACAATTTTGATCCATAAACCTTCAAAGGCATGGTAAGAAGCTGAATCTAAACCCAGATCTTTTGTACATAATACATCCTTTGCAGGGTCAAATATTTTATTGTATTATTACAAAGAAAGAGCATGTAGGGTTAATACTGTTGCTTGAATGGTAGGAAAGAGATTAATCTCTTATTTGAAAATGTTTTTTTTTCTTTCCCTCTGAAATACTCTCCTGCAAACTTGCAGTGGATCCAGTTGCTTTTTTTAATTTTGCCCCCCTTCCCACTTTTTTTTTTTAAGATGGCATTTCTCTTGCTGCAGTGTAATAGGCTGAGAATTACTGTGACTCAAAAGATGAAAGTGTTCTATGTATCGAGTGTAATGGTACTTCAGCCTAATGAAGAGTACTTCTGTTTCACTGATAATGGGAACACAAGGAGAAACCTGCAAGAGCCTTGCAAATTACAGGGGCCAGCAGTTTACCCATTCTATTCACCATGCTGTTCATTTCACTTCATCTGTTCATGCAGCTATACAAATTTCTAACAGTGGCTATTTTTGACAGCACACTGAAGCAGAACTGTAAGAAACTACAGCTTGGTAACCCTATCCTATTTTGAAAGGACTAGCATAACGTATTCCGTGCTGATATTACACACTGATGATGTAATACGAGCATGTTATTGTCAGTGCTATTGTTGATATTTTATAGACTAGATTAAAGAACTGATGGTGTGAGTATATTGACACTACAGAACCTTGACTATGTCCAGCATATATATAATTCTAATTTATAAGAACAACAAAGAATTCCCATCTGACACTCTTGCTGGCCAGTATTTGTAATACCTTGTTGGTTGTACCACACAGTACGTGACAAAATAATTCTAAGTGGCCAAGTATCAGGAAAAAAACCATGCCACATTCTCCATTTCTCTGGTATAATCCCTCTTTGTAGTTCAGCAGCCTTTGTAACAACTTGGAGCTTGTGTTGCATTCCGAAGGTAAACACAATCAGGTTGTTTTAGACCAAAGACTAATTTCACCTTTATATTGTAGCTCACTTCTAAAACTTACTCCAATATTGCCTTTCCACTACTAACAGCTTATCATACCATATTTACTTTGGAAGTAATTCAGCATGCACACTAGTTGCTTATATACTGTGCTAGAACTGTGCAGTTGGACACTAAAAAAGCTGTTCCTCACAAAAACAGTATGGGTCAGTTAATCATCTCAAGTTATCTTGGGTTCTCCATGCTCGTGTTCTACCAACTGAAACAGTACTAACAGCATTTCTGTGACATTGTTAACCATATCTCAACTTAGATTAAAACTGAGATGTTAGAATACGGAGAAGATAAAGATAAACAGATAAGAAGAAATGCAAAGTACGCAGAATATCCATTTCAATTTGTCAATTGCTTAATTAACAGGAGGAGGATCAGTCAAGTTTTTCTGGTTATGACACCACAGGAGGTGAGTTTCTTTTTCAGTGTCATTTGCAATTTAATTTTGAAACTTTTGATTTCCCCTTGTATTTAAATAGTTACTTAGAAAATAAAGTGAATTCAGATTATTTATATTGTGAAAGTTATGTCTCAAAAGGATTTTATTACATGAATTCTCTTTGAATGCAAATTAAAGCTTGTAAAAGATATTTCTACACTCTTTAGGCCAGTGGATCCAAAATTATGAGAAAATATTACTGTTAATCAGCATCAGCTCTCATAAATGTTTTCAGAAATTGGCAGTTATGAAAAGCTTGCTGGAAAGTATGAGCTGCTAAGAATCCAAGAGGAATGAAGGGATTAGCCAAAGCCTTTTATGGCTAATGATATTATGTAATGAGGTGTACATGCCACATAATAAAAAACAAAATTGTATGTGGTAAATTAATGTGACTTGTAAGTGATTGAGTCAAAGACATAATAAAATTCCAGCAGGCTCAGATGGGGCATGATCGCCTTCTGTGCTGGTATAATCAGGCTAATGACTGGGACTCAGACTAGAAGGAACTGCTTTTTCAAAAATACAATTTTGGTAAAAGGCAAAGCTGTAGTACATACAGTAGTTTGGTGCTAAAAGGACAGTAATACCTGGATTTCAGTTAAGATTATTATTTGGCTGAATTTGAAGCTCAGGGGTATTTAAGACTACATCTCAGATGTAGCATACCAAACATAAAATCTGAATGGGTTGTGGACAAAATTCTATAGCAATTATAATGTAATACCATATTCAGAGAAAAATGCAATGGCTCAGGAGGCACATTATTACATCAAGATGCATCTGCTTCCCCGCCCCTGCCTCTTTTAAAGAGCTTATGTGTATGTGCAAGGTCTAATTTTCAGGTAAAATATTTTTATCATATCTGCAGCAAGAACTACAAAACTGGGAGATAAATAGGCTTGTAGATAATAGCTCCTTTTGGAATGCAGAGCATTATAGCAGAATGTAAATCTAGTGAAATCAGATCACCTTGCGTGAGTGTTACACAATTCGGTGTGGAAAGTAGTTAAGATTAAAATTAGTAGCTCTTGCCAACTAAAGAATTTTTATTTTCATTTCAGACTTTTCAGAAGATCTGAAGAAATCGGACATAATTTTTGTTGTCGGTAAGTAGGATTCCTAATTTAACTGCTACATTTGAAAATCCCTATGTTAGTAAGTTTTGATTATAAGTATATGATTTATTTTAAAGTTTAGCAGAACAGTTTAGTTAAGAGTATTTACACTACAATGGTGGTTTAGTCTTTTGAAAGGGAGTTAGGATTTAATATTGTCTTATTAACCTGCATCTGAGCATGCTAACAACAGTTGTGTAAAGCTCAGAGCAGAAGGTAATGTTTAAGTGTGAACATACTCAAAATAACCTTAGTTCTTGTGCAGTTACTGTATTGTGCGATCTCCTACAGCAAAGCTGCCTCACCAGCATTAGTTAAAGTGTTACTAGATTGAATTTATAACTCAGAACTTCAAGGTTTAGGTGAAAAAAATCAGGTCTCTTCACCTCTTCATTTGTGAAACAACTTTTGTAAATACAGGTTTCAATTCTGCATGGGCTCAACATGCTGTTAAAAAGTCAGTGGGCTAGTCACCATGCATGATGCTTAGCATGCACTGAGGCTTTCCAGGTTCAAGGTTTACTTTATATTTGCTTTCTGGAAGTCCACAGAGGAAAAGCACCATGTTAATGCCCATTATTATATAAATGTGACCAATGTAATTAGCTTAAACTTCGAACAGCCTTTTAAAACAAATTATAATCAGAAGATTTACAAGTTTCAGCTTAAAGCTTGGTACTAATTACTTGGAAAGAATAATTGCTTTTATATCAAGCAGAGCTTTTCAGAACCGCTTTACAATACAGAGCAGGAACAACACATTTCTAAGGACCTAAGGATAGATTTCCAAACACGGGTAATTTTACATGCAACTCAGTCACTTTGTGCATTCTTTTTCCTAAGGAAAAAGAAAGTGACTTCTGAAATTAGTCATAAATAATGGAAGTTTCATTCAGAATTCAGGAGGCATCAAAAAACATTCCAATACCAGCAGGTTGAGGGAGGTGTTCCTTCCTTCCTATTCAGCATTGGCCATCTTCCTGCTGTTCACAACAGTGACAAATTTTCATTCTCTCTACCTCAAATATCTTACTGGAAAATTATGTTTGGGTTTGTATAAACACAGATTTAAAAAAAAAAGTGAAGATGCTCAAAGAATTTTGCCTCTGAAATTGTCCATAGTAAGGCATATTTTTCATTTACCTCTGGATTGCTTTTTCTTTTTCAAAGAGTGGGTTTTAGTTTTCATTATAATTTTTATAGGCCATCTACGAGCTGTCTTCCAGCTTAAAACTGAAAAAATGGAAAACACAACTTTTCCCTGCTCTTAAATCCATCTCGGGCTTTCTAGTAAATGGTTTCCAGAATAGAGGAAAATTCTGCTTTATCAAAAGTCAAAGTTTTCTTTGTTGAAAATATTACAATGAAAAGTTTGACTAAGTCCAAACATGGGTTACTTTTCAACAAATTATGGAGAATGATTTATACTTTTTCCCAAGTACCCCCATCCCCACCTCTATCCTCCTACCCCTGAAAAAGCTTCTTGAAGTCTGATGTGAAGAGCAAGAGTATATTTTTTCTGGTTTTGTTTTTTTTTTTTTTTTTGTGACCAACGTGAAATCTTCATGGTTGCTCATTTGGCTGCAAAACCGTGATTTTATTCCATCCAAATGGTATTTCCCAGAGACAGATTTCTTGCTGGTGCTAGGTTGGAGTGGCCACAAGCTCTTTTTCCTTATGGCCTTTTCAGGCAGGTAGGTAAATCTGCTTGAATCACTTGCTGACCCACATGCACTCCAGGTTTAACATTATACACACTAGCCAAATGCATACCATTTGCCTAGGCAGTGAAGTTGTCTTCCATGTCAGTCAAGAGCTGAAGCCTGATCACTGCGAGTTGTACAAGGATGAAAGAAAACTTTGAAGAAGCCTCAGAGGAGCAGAACAAAACTGGGAGGGAGAGGGTGGGGGGAGAAAAGAGGAAAAAAAAAGCACCACATATTCTCAGGGGCTAAGTACTCCATTGCAGTGGACAACACTAGAAATGTTCAGTCCATGATACCTTGACTAGAAAGAAAGCAGGGAAGATGGGTTGGAACATGCTGCTGTAGATACTTGAATGGGAAAAATTCTCGGTCTCAGGTGTCATTAGAAAAGTTTACTCATTACATAGATGTATTCATGAGGAAATAATAAGATGCTTATAAAGGTGTTTTAAAACTAGAGTTCTAAAGACATGCATTTGAAGTAGTTTACAAACTAATTGAAATAAATACACCATCTGCCATAGCTGACAAGATACTGTTTATAAGACAAAAGGGAAAAAGCAGACAATTCCCTCCCCCACTAATTTCCCTTGAAAACTGTCCAAAAAGGCAAAGAAAAAAACCTCTAATTAGCAAAGATTTACATTAGAGCTAATGTAGGAATTAACTGTAATAACAGTCAACTCAAATTAATTAAGCAACAACATCAATGTTTTATCCAGACAGCAAGCAGAGACATAGAACCAGCAAGTCAAAAATATGGGAGTTAATAGCAGGGTAACAAAAGAGGCAAAAAACAAGTTAACTTTGGCCTGTAAAATTCAAGAGAAAAATAAAAAATTAACAGGTGCAAAGATAAATTTGGGGCATGCTCTAATATTCAAAACTTATGTAATTACTGCCAGTCACTAAAAAAAAAACCAAACACCAAAACTAAACCCACAAACAAACACCCCCCCCAACGAAAAAAACTTTTTTCATCAGAGCAACATGAAAAGTAAAATCTTAACCAGAATGAATAACGTAGGTTTTTATCATTCTTAACTAATATGATAATCTATATCACATCCAGAAAATTGTCATAGAAAACAAAGTTACTGGGACCATTACTCCTCCCTATCCTGTACAGGAGTTTCATAAAACATAGCCACATTTGGCTTTGATTGAGGCTGAAACCAAAGTAGTAAGTTTTCAGGAATCTTTCTGCAGTTTGTATCAGAGACAAACTCCCCACTTACTCTTAAATGTGGTGTTTAAAACTTAGTCAATGTAACCAATTTCCTCTGCAGAATCCTTGTCATATTCTTCCTGGTGAGCCAAAGCTGACAATGGTTTAAGCTCAATGTAAGTAAGACCAGCTTTTCAGCAGACAGTCTGAAGATACTATCATGACCTACACTTAGAGGTAAAACATTATCAGCTGCAGACAGTAGCTTGTTGTGCACACAAAACCAACCAACCAACCAAAAATATCACAAAATCCAAAATTCTTTATTTGTCCTAGGCATGTCAGACCTTCAACAACTTTGAATTTCGCCCTGCTTTGAGTAGAGGGTTTTTCCTGATTACCTAAATTATGCTACAGTAATTTTATTGCAGCTCCTTCTACAATCAGATAGGCATAGGATGAGCAGTGCTGATAATTTAAACCCCAGTCAGTCCAAGCACTAACTGTACAAGCTGATGAAGGCTGGTTTCTCTGACTTTCTGTGAAATGAAATCCATGTTTTCTTTAAGAGGGATGAAAACTTGGTGATGTGCCAGGTCATCACATCACTCTGCCAACATGTGCTCCAGGTTGTTTTCTGATTAAAATAATCTTTCACAAAAATAAAAAATAAAAAAATGGTGTGGTTTTGGTTGTTGCTGGTTTTAAGTAACAGCATTGTTCCTATATGGTTTCACTCAGACTAAAATCACACGTGAACAACAGATGACATGCTATTGAGAGGCCTTCACGTGCCATATTCTGAAACTAAGGCTTATTTTTATTTGTATAAATAATCCAAGTAGCATTGATAGAATTGCCAAACTGATCAAGTCCTCCAAAATGATAGCTTGAATGTAAGGATAGCTTGACTGGGGTTATTTTGATTTCACTTCTGAGGCTCTATTGTGCAGCTAGGTTTCCCCGCAGGCACTTTTCCATGATACAAGGATGATACTCATTATGAAAATAAGGTCTAGAAATTGAAACATTTTAAAATGAATGGTGGGACTCTCTTGTAAATCCTGCTGCTGGCATTTTATGTAAATGTTCATGGTATTTTGGTATATGATAAACTCATAAGATTTGGCAAGCTTAAAATAGAGACATCCCAGTCTGTCTGTATGACACTTCTGCTTTATTAATATTTCTGGCAGCAAAGCTGGTTCATGAACTGCTCATATTGCTTGTTCCTGTCCCTGCTTACTCGGAGCAGCAGTCCCAGCTCCCTCTACCATCATTAATTCATCTGCTTGTGATGTTGTGCTCTAGGCCAGACTGGTACATTTGAATCACATGCCTAGGCCTGCAGTCTTTCATAGTCTTGGGGGGGACTGGGGCATGAGGGAGAGCAGGTGTAAGAGACTTGATTTCTTAAACAGACATCTTTTGCTGATCTAAAGTGTAATACAACAGCATGCTAACAACGAGGAACTGCTGGTAGTTGTACGTTCTCCTACAGGTCACAGCACACTCATAATTCCTCTGGCCATTTTCTAGGCTTTAACTCTTTATCTTCATGTCATATGAAAATTGGAAGACAACATGATTAATCTGAATAGCAAGTTACTGTGACTCAGTCTGTCACTTAACACAATTGTTGTTTTTTTTTTCCAAAATATACATAGGCAGAGTAAAAGATAACAGCATACAGAAAAAACAAAAGCAGGGACATATTTTCCTCCTCCTAACAATTAAGCCATTGGGAAAACTTCACTACCTTTTTCAATGTCTCAGGTTTTTTCTGTTTTAAAAACAGCATAACAAGTTGCAGTGAAGCCTTCTTAACTGAAAATATCTTTGTGATAGCTTTTGTTATATTTTATATTCAGCTGTTGTTCCTTATAAACTTTCTTCAAGTAAATTATTAGATTTCTCTCTCTCTTTTTTTTTTAAATGCATAGATTTAATAAAGAGACCCTCTAAAAGAACAAAATACAATTTTTGCAACACTATAAATTGATAGTAAGCCTCATGACTGCAGGGTTAATTTGCTGTTAAAGCTACTTATGTAGCAGTCCTATCCTGAGCAGGAAGGAAGTACCTAATTAATAAGGAAATGCACTTTCACATTCTTTCCCACCTAAATAGCTCTTTTTCAGTCACATTAAATACTGGCCTTCAGAGAGAGACAAGACATTAACTAATACTTTAACTTCAGGCATGTAAATTAATAGTGGCGTAAACGCTGAGTACGTGTTCAGCCCTCAATGCTGAATTCCCTGGGGGCATTCAGCCTCTTCTCAGATCAGGCCAAGCAAGAACTGCCATCTCATTCGCTGATAAGAAAGCACAAGACTTTGCAAAGTGGGTCATATACATTTGTCAAGCAGTAGGATGCTTTGCTGCTCATCAAATGATACTAAATTAATAGCAGTGGCCATAAAAATTACCATTTCCAGCACATAACTGTTATTTAATTATGTCTTTTCCTCTTTAAAGAGCACAGCATTTTCATCTCAGCTTTGTTGGAACTCATGTTTTGGAGGCACAGTAATTCTCATTATGGTGTATGTCCTGCATATTGTGTCATTCTGACAGTGTTCTCTCTTAAAATACTAACAGGTAAAGGTATTAGAGAAACACATCAACTTTTCTGAATATTTACCTGCTAAACAACCAAAAATTGTCCTTGTATTGTTATTTCTAAAAAGAGATCTGGTTTATTTAGTATATGAAGGGACATTATGAAATTTCTGTTTCAGCTCTATATTCAGAAGAGAAACAGTTATATAAGAAACAGAATAAAATAATCTTTGTAGCTGTTTTTTTTAATACTGTGTATGTACACCAAATAAATAGGATGAAATCACTGCACTGCTAGTATATTCAAGGCCAGGAGACAGAATGTGTAAACAAGCACATGCACACACAAACTTACTAATCTAAAAAGCCAAACCAAACCAGAAATAAAATTAATTGCCACTACAGATATTTAACAGTCTCATTACAGATAATTTGCCTATAATTTCTCTGCATCTATTTCTCTGTAGCCACTCTTGTTTATTCCTTGTTTTCTTTCAATCAGTGTTTTTACAAAAGAAAAATGTTCTTATTAAGGCAATAGAAAAACAACATGCAATCCACATTAGCAAGAAAATGAGACCATGACAAAGATATTTCTAGCTAAAATTGTAGCACAAGTGTGATTCTCACACCATGGGCTGATAATTGTCTTTGTGAAGCTGAAGTAAAAGACTCCAGGTTACAGTAGACAAAACTGTTCCTTTAATGCTACTGCCTTATGACCCAATTTTTAGTCTCAGCTACATTACTGCAGCTTCTTTGAAAATGATATGCTTGGAGCAATTATTTCTTAAACTGAATGCAAAAGTTAGAAGGAAGTTGAAGTCAGGAGGAGATGGTGCCAAATACACTCTATTGTGAACACATTATTCCTGTATTTTCTCATGGAGAGATAAACAAGAAGGAAAATCATGTATTTTCTAGCATCTTAAATCCACATAATAGAGCTGTGTAGTCATATTTGCAAGTCCCAACAGTTGATAAATACACAAGTCACATGCTTAAAAAAACTTCATTGAAAAGAGTTTGGGTTTTTTGTTTTGTTTTTTTTGTTGGTTTTTTTTTTAATCTTGGTGTTGCCTCTTTTGATTTTTGAGCACTGTCTCCCTACAATGGTATAATTACCTCCTACTGCAGTAGATCTTCTGAACAGATCCATCAGAGATTGTAAAAATGCTGCTACACACCTTGAAATTTCTCCCCAAATCCTGATACTGCCACAACGGAAATTTGCTTTCCTGGCGACCCCCAGCACCAACATGGCCCCTCAGCCCTCCCCACCCCGTTCGGCCCTCATGGGGTGCTCACCTCAGCTCCGCCAGCAGCCCTGGAGGTCACAGCCACAGCAGTGCGATCCCTGAGAAGTAGCTTCCAGCAATTTCCATGGACTGCCCGCCTCTCCAGCTGGGTTGGGGTGGCTGCTGCCGCTCAGTGAGCGGCTGAAGAGGCATTTGGCGTTTCACAGGGTCGGCCTTCACGGTGAGGAAGGAAAAGCAGCCACCTCCACTGAGGAGGTGGGACAGGGCAATGCCGGCACCTGCAGAGCAAGGAGGTGTCCAGAGCCTGCGAGACACCCCCAGAAAAGGGCCCTTGCCAGAGAGATATCCAAGCGAGGCAGAGTTTGGGGACTCTCGAGGTGGCGGCAGTTCTCCTACTGAAGGAGGCAGGGAGGCTCGAGGTGCCATTTCTGACAGGAGGACACCTGCAGCATTTGCCTGAGTCACTGCCCTTCCACTCCCACCCTCTCTGTCTCCCCACAGGCCCCGCCGAGCCGGAGGGCCGGCCACAGCTGCCTTCCCTTCAGCCTGTGGAAAAATCACTTGAGCAGCTTCACCTGAGCGCCCTGTCGGCCGAGACTGCCCTTCACCCCTCCAGTTGTTGCACTCTGGGCCTGGTTCAGAGCTGCTTTTCCAGCTGAGTACAGTTGTGGGTGTAGGAGAGCGGGTGGTGACAAGGTCTCCACGTGCCCTCTGTTGCTGAGCAATTGACTCTTGGGCTTCCCTGCAGCATGCATGAGGAGCAAGCCAGTACCACAGCTGCAGGGAGCGGCATGACCGAGCCTTTGTCAGCATTTAGCAGCTTCAGTACCTGGCGCTCAGTTATCAGCAGACGTACCAGCACGTGAGAGCTTTCCAGCTCAAAGGGAAAGGGCGCAAGCACAATGAAATTGTGCTCTTACATTTACTGCAGTGCTAAAGGGCTTAGTTGCTGTAGACCTACGTGCATCCCACATAACAGAGGCAAGTTTCACCATCTCTTTGCCTATACCTTTCCGTTCCATAAATGAGGGCAAAATATTTCCCTGGCAAGGATGCAGTGAACGTTAGTTTGCTAATATTTGTTGCAGCTCTCAAGCTGAACATAGATACTCAGTCAAATACCCTTCCACGCTGGCTGTTTCATGTTTTTCCTTTACATAGTAACGGTGTTTTAGGAACAGGTTCTCTTCTGCAAGAGATTTCACACTCTTGTGACTCCTTTGACTTCGGTACGTGTTTTTGAGTCAGCAGTGTAGTGTATCAGAAGGGAAGTATATGACTTGTTCTGCTGTATAGAATGTCTTTGCAAAAAAAAAAAAAATTGCAAAATAGGCAGTCTCATCAATTTCCTCCCATTTTCTTGGTTGCTATAGTTTGAGAAAAGGCAGATATATATTCTTTTCTAATTCTAGATATTTTTCCCTCACAAAGGTGGGCCTGGCTCTGGCAAAGGTAGCCAATGCAAACAGTTAGCCAAGAAATATGGATTTACTTACCTGTCTGCTGGTGACCTTCTACAAAATGAGTTATCATCATTATCAGAGAGAAGTAAATTGATCAAAGACATCATGGAATGTGGTGAACCTGTGCCTGGCGTAAGCAACAGTTTTATTTGGGGTCCTAAGAGTTAAACAAAGGCAGTGGTAGGTAGATTGTCTAAAAGGGTGGAAATAAGAGACTAGAGCTGATGATTCCCACTTAAGTAAAATTAATCTGCAACTTGAGGGAGAAGTTTCCTCGTTGCCAGATCTGTGGAACTTCTTTTCCCTTTCTATGCCAGTATTTCTTTACATTTCAGGCTCATATAGGCAACAAATAAGTCATGAAATACAGTGAGACAGATGCTGCACTATGCAATGCAAAATGTAAGATTAAGTACAGGAAACAGAAACTTTATGTCCATTTTATAGCTTCACATTTCAGATTCAGAGCTAGTCTTCCTGGCAGCTATTCTAATTTACAATACCTGCAGCAGTTCCCTGCAGAGCTGGCTGACATCCCAGAGTAGCTGGACTGCAGTTCAGTGGAGACTGTGAAGACGGAGTGTGTTATTCTCAGCTGGACTTGACTTTTACGTGGCAGGTCTGCAGCCCCAGCTCTTGGTGGGTCTTCAGCAAGTGCAGCTAGATCATGGGATGTGTTTGTTAATGAAAGATACCAGGAAGTGCTGCTCAGGGGAAACTAAAAGCTGTGCTGAGGCTTGATTTTGATTGCTTTGCTCTTCAGTGTGTTTGGTCAGATGGGTTCTTTTATCACTTTCCATGTAATATATCAGTGACATCGCAAAATGCAATCAGATTGGGAAATGCTGCAGCAGTACTCCAAAGTTTCACGGGTATCAACATTAATTTTGAAACTATGAAATATTCCCAGCTATCTAGAGAACACTTTGGGAACTCTTGGATGGGTTGGAACACTAGATTTGTGTAGCATAGCTGATCCTGAGAGAAGAAAAAGTAGGGTGTCCTGCTACCTGCAGGACAAGAAAAACACCTGCATTCACAGGACCTGCTTTTAGCAAAACAAGGCAGTTCTCAAGGGCGTAGGACTAAAGTCAGTGTAACAAACAAAAGTATCAATCTTTCTTATTTTTTAACCAACTCCTTTTCTTTCCAATGCAGGGTATTGTTCTAGAGCTACTGAAGGAAGCCATGGTTTCCAAGTTAGGGGACACAAAAGGATTCCTGATCAATGGGTATCCCCGGGAGCTGAAAGAAGCAGAAGAGTTTGAGAGCAAGGTGACCATATAATCGTAATGCTGTTAGAACTCCTATTAAGATACAACTGTACTTCTGATGCCACTTGGGTCCCCATCTTTAGCTGATTGCAACAGGGATGTGTAAACAGCCAATCCAACAGCATTGTGCTGCTGGTCACTGAAACTTTGGGACCCCATCAATATAGCAACTCCAGCTTTTGCCCTCACCTATACAGACTCTGTAACACCAGGAGAAGTAAAGGCTGATTTTACCCAAATTTAATATAAACCAGGAACAATTCACATTTAGTGGAAAGCACCATTTTTAGAATCAGTTTCCTAATTCTAGTGGATGGCTGCTATACTTCTTACGAAAATCTCACAAGCATTATTTGATGTAGGTTCATAAAAGCCTGTATCTTCACAGTTAATATCGCTTACCATTGAGCCAACTCTGCTAAAGCTTGCTGCCACTTTGAAACAGCAAAACACAGATTTAATTTTTGTGATGAGTAACAGGTGGCATAGCCATAAAAAGAGTGTTTTGCAAGTGACTGTTGGCAGTTCAGAGAGTTATCGATTTCCTCAGTATGCGCTAAGACCTACTGAGAAGTCTCAGCTGTACATTCCTCAATCTGCAGAAAATACTCTATATAAGCCCTATGAATGAATTTGCCAGGGTTTAGGAGAAAAGAAGTGGTGAACTAGGGGAAACAGTTTATGTTCTATAATATTACACTCCACAAATGTCCTACACAAGTTTGAAAGGTAATAAAACTTTAATGAATCATCTGTTTTCTCCCTGAACCTTTAGCTGCTTTATTTAGTTGATTACCAAAAGAGCCCAGCAAGATTTAGGCATCAGAAGCTGAACAAAATAATGGGTGGTAGGATTTGCTATAGAAGCCATTCACAGAAATGTTGATCTATTAGTACTGTCCTGGTTTCAGCTGGGATGTAGTTAACTGTCTTCCTAGTAGCTGGTACAGTGCTATGTTTTGAGTTCAGTATGTGAAGAATGTTGATAACACTGATGTTTTCAGTTGTTGCTCAGTAGTGTTTAGACTAGAGTCAAGGATTTTTCAGCTTCTCATGCCCAGCCAGGGCACCTGACCCAAACTGGCCAACAGTGTATTCCATACCATGGGACGTCCCATCTAGTTTAGGAACTGGGAAGTGGGGGGAAAGGGATTCGCCGCTCGGGGACTGGCTGGGTGTCGGTTGACGGGTGATGAGCAATTGCCCTGCACATCATTTGTACATTTCAATCCTTTTATTACTACTGTTGTCATTTCATTAGTGTTATCATTATCATTATTAGTTTCTTCTTTTCTGTTCTATTAAATTGTTCTTATCTCAACCCAGGAGTTTTACTTCTTTTCCTGATTTTCTCCCCCATCCCACTGGATGGGGGGGGAGTGAGTGAGCGGCTGCGTGGTGCTTAGTTGCTGGCTGGGGTTGAACCATGACAAGTACCCTTACTAAAATGCCACAGACTATTAAAAAGACATTGGAGATTTCTTTCATTTTGTGTAGAAGGAGGAACTATTTCAGCAGCACTGCTTTTCTGGCAGGCTTATGTGTCATGTCCTGTGAACACTGGTGTATGCTATAAAGTAGAACTTAGAGATTGGAGTATCCTGGACTGAGGCATTGCCAGGCAAACAAGTCTTGATGCATCCAGTGCAAAAGGAGAGACCCTTTCAGTTCCCACAGACACTGTAGCAGCAAACGATCCTGTAGCCTGAGCTGCCTTTCACATTTGGAGTAAAATACAAGGACCCCAAGTGATAATTTTGAATGTGCTAAGTCATCCCTGTTGTATCCATATATATCCACTTGAGTTTTCACAGGGTGAACTTGGCTGGCTGTAAGCTGCTTAGTAAGTCTGTGAAGTTTTTTTAAATGAGTCATTATTGAGATAATGCTTTGCAGTTCTTTCTAAAGGGCGATGAGAACTTCTTCCTACATTACAATTGAATGAAAAGAGGTGGACATCAGGCTTTATGAATTAATGGCAGCAAAGTGCAAATGAGTAATGCTATGTATATACATGATGTGTAAAAAGCATTATAATTTTTAACAAACAGCTGTTTTCATTAGAAGACATTGGCAATAGTACTTATACTTAAAGGCTTGACAGGCCTAAATAGAATTAGCTATGTAGAAACAGGTTATTCTCCAGCCAGTTTTGCCCAATTCCTTTCTATGATATAACTGTACTTTCACCTAGCCATAATTCTAGAGAAGCACATGTCTGTGATCCCTCCTTGGTCTTTCTGCTAGGTGAGAAATAGAAGACAATATTAAAATTCCACATCACAAGGTGGAAGATACTCAGTAAGACAGAGTGAAGACCCAATACATTAGACTTGTTTGGCTTCCTGCAGATGTCCCCACAGCATGCATTATTTAAGCTAAATTATGTCGGGAAAAAAGTAATTAAAAAAAAACCCAGTAGTAAAAATTGCTGTTATATCTGATAGGGGCATTACTTTTACTTTTTGTAATTTTTAACTCAGAAGAATGACATTTCTGTAATGTTTTGAATTCCAGAGAATAGCAACATTGGAACTTGTAAGAGAACCATATAGATTTTTCAAAAGCAAATCAGACCCAGTCTATCAAAAAAGATGCTATTATCTGATCCTACCAGTCAGTAGACTCCTTCTTATCCTTATTGTAAGGTGAGGATATGACTATAACTGATGAAAGCCATGAGTCCTCATTTATTCTATTATAATTTAGAACAGACTATGGAATTCCTCATGTGGAGCTGTGAGGAAATAACTTCTCACCATCTTAGTCCAATTATACAAAAAAGACATTTGTTTAAATCATTGATTAAGCCCACATCTTAATTTTAACTTCTCAAACAGTGCAAGCCTCTTGAACTGTTAAAACTGCCTTGTTGGCTTTTTTAATCCCCAAACCCAATACTGCTGCTGCTAATAGCATTCATGTTTTCTGAGCCGTGTGGAAAAAATGGATGGATAAGAGCCTGTCATTGAACTGTCTGACATAATCCCTTGGCTTCAGCTGTCTCTTAGAAAGTCATCAAGGTAGTATAAAGGTCAACATAATCCAGACATCCTCAGTCAAATGCAGAGGGCCTAACATGAAATATTTACCTTTAGAATATTTCTTCCTTTAAGGGCTGTCAACAAAGGTAGCAATGGCAATTTCCATATATCAGTCATTTAGACTTTCTTTGCTGTAGCCATGATAAAAGCATGAATTTCTAACGGTCATGAATTTCTAATGGTCACTAGTGTGAAGAACAGTCCTCTTTTCTCAAGACTTCTCACTCTTTCCTAAGAGGTGTTCTCCAAATCCCTGCTAGAAAGGGAAGGAATGAGAAAAAGCCTGAGAGCATCTCTGAAGGATTTAATACATAACTGCATGGAAAAATTATCACATTACTTTGATCCTGTAACACCTTTATTTTACTTGATAGAGTGTAGTTTATCTCTTTAGACTCAGCCCAACAGTTGCTGCTCAGACAAAACCTTGTGTCAGAGAGAGCTGTGCCTGAGCGGGGTGCATGACAGAGTGTATTGCAAGGTTTATGCTAAATGACACACATATTTTTCAGCATCTTAGGGAAAGAACGATGGAGATTTTTGTTTAGAACTTTTGGCTCTCTCCTAAAATATTATAAAGAACATTTTGCTCTTTCTTGCCAGTTCTTTTTCACCCATAAATTACTGCAATATCTATGATCAAATGTAGATAGAGACAATTATTTACTATCTTTGCCAAGGCCTGGAAATAAAAATAAATAAATCTGTATTTATTTTCTTTATAGAAAAGGGCAGACTCTCCCTTATGACTAGTTTGGCACTAGCCAAAAAGCACTAAATGGTGGGCTTCTCACAAAATTTGGAAATTACTCACCAATTTGAAAATGCAAAGAAATAATATCACATCGTTCCTTGATGCCATGGATAGTAATGATGTAGAGTTACACAGTGAATATTGACATAAAATAGTGTGTGACATAAAGCAATTCACAGGATGTATTCCTGTGAATATGTCCAGTAACAAGCATTTGATGGTGTCCCTGAGCCTGTCTGTTGCTACTCATTTCTGTTTCAAGTGGGCACACTTTAATTTGGACATTTCCTTCTATTGCCTCTCGAAATTCTAAGCTATAGTTTACCACTTCCTGAACGAAAATATACTTTTCACAGATTGAACAAAGCAAATGCTAGAAGAACAACTGTGTCAAGAATTCCATAGGTCCAGTGCTGCTTGCATCAAGCTTTTATCAAACAGTTACAAATAATGAACAAACTGACGATCTTCAGTCCAAGTAGCCAGAATTTTTCAGATTATCTCTCCTTTTCTCTGTATGTGTAGAGCCCAGTCAAGCACAGCCTTGGTCCTGAATACTGGGATCTCTAAGTGCTGCTATAATAAGAAGTGGTTTTTTTTAATAAGCATAATTTCTGCATAGACAAATATGAAAGTAATTTGCTAATAAATTCCTTGATGACTCTTCTGGTAGCATTTCTTTTCAAAATTATCCAAACAAAATCAGTTCTACCAGCCCAGTGGTTTGAATACTTATTGTTTTTTCTTTGTCTCTAGTTTGGGGAGCCAAAACTTGTTTTCTGCCTAGACTGCTCTGCAGAAACCATGAACAGTCGCCTTCTGATGAGAAATCAGAGCAGTCAGCACTCTGATAACGTCGAAACCATCAAGGAAGCAATCGAAAGCTATTTCCAAGCATCAAAACCTGTGATTGCATACTATGAAAGGAAGACACAGTTATGCAAGGTAAATTGCTTGACCCTTTTAATTAAATATTGCTTTTTACTTTCATTATATGAGCAATATTCAGAAAATACTGACACGACAGCATTTATGAACTGTATTAGTTTCTGCACTTCCCAGTTTGTTCTCACCTTACGCTTCCCTGGTTTGTTTGCAACTTCTACAAACCTCTGAGTTCCACAGTACAATTTGAAAGAATAAAACCACAGATTTATCCCGAGTCTGAGAACATATCCTGAATCACTACCTCATCTGTATAGAATCTCTTATTAAACATTAATGCTTGAAAGCTTTTTTTAAGTATTAGGATTTATTTCTCTATAAGGGCTTTCAGAACTAGGATGAAAGATTATGTTAATCCAAAGCCCTTTAGTTAAATTTACAAAACTGACAGTGTATATCCTGAAATAAAACAGACCTGCACACAAGAAAGATCTTCCTGCTGGAATAAATTACATAGTTGTATTAATTTCAGTGAATTACCTCAGTTTACATGTACTCAGGATGTGATATTTAAAGCATTCTTTTTATTCTCTAATCAATACTTTACAGAGAAGCAAGAAAAATTCCATCAGTGCAATTAAGTGATGTATATGCTGGCACAGCACATCTGTAAACTCATTTACATGGGATATTTATATTTCTTTTTATATATTTCTCTGCTCTGTTATGGCAAACTGTTCTTCATGTTCAGCTACAGAAAGATCTAGTTCTACTGATCCTCCTTGTCCTTAAAGGGATAGAATCCAATAATAGTTTCTGGAAATATTATGGGAGCTTTTTTCTAGAAGCTGTAGCAAACACGCAAATCACATATCCCAAACCTTTCTCCTCTGCAGAGTTCCCAAAAGAGAAACACGCACTTAATTTATGCAGCCATATCCCGACCTGAGAACAGAGTAAATGACATAGTCCTGAGAAAAATGATACTCAAAGGGAGAGTCCTGATTTGTGTCCTTTGCTAACCCCACAATAAGTGCACAGAAGGCAAACTCCAGAGTGACAGAAAAAAAATCCCCAATTACTTTTCTTTTTTAAGCTTAAGAATTATTATCTGGTTTTATTTGTATTTTCTTTGATGAGCTACCATTGCAAAGACGCATCTAATTAGGAATTCAGTACAATATGCACTACACCAACTCAGTGCAATGCAAAGGAAAATGGAGCTCTCTGTATCTCTAAGATTTTATTCCAGTGAGCTGTGCCTACCACAGTGTTTCCCTTTTTGAAGCATCAGGGAATTGACAGCCTGTAAGAGAATGAAACTACACTAAATACTTTCACACAGATTTTGCATTCATGGTCTGCCTTATTTCACTTGATGTAGACTCTCCTTGCCCTTCCTTAATACTTCCGCTGCAAGTTTCTTCTCCAACTCCTATGCAATCTGTGCAATGGCAAAACATGCAGTCTTTTCTTGAAAGCTTATAGCTCATTAGTTCCTTAAGGGACTTGCCTCGTCCCTTATGTGCTTTGTACACTTTTATCATTAGTTTTTGGGGGAGTTGACGTTGTGTGTTTGCATGTTAGAAAATATTCGTGCATTGCTTGAACAGTGCTTACACTGTTTTTCTTACAATGTCTGTACGTGGTACTTGCTTCTGATGAATGTAGGTGTTCAATGTACTTCCATCTTCTGGGTGGACCTATTGGGTCTGAAAGCTCTGTAAAATCAGCTATATAAACATTATGATGTAAAAAGTCTTTTTAAGGTTGAAAAACGTGTTCTATTTTTATTGAACACAGGTACTCTGTATTGAAATGTCTGCCTCATCCACTTTTTACTAAACTGATGAAATACACATCTGCTATCAAAGATGTGATTCCATTATGGATTTAAGTAAAGTAGGGACATTACCCCCAACCCTTATGATGTTCAGTTATTTATCAGCATTTAGAGAACACTGCTGAAATACTCAGCAGAGGTAGGCTTTTAAAATTAATCCTCCCAAGGCTATCCTTGTCACCCTCAGCCAGCCTGGGATACAAGCCTGCAGCCCTGGTGCCTGTACAGCAAGAAGCAGAAGCAAATGTAGTTTTCATACAAGAGGCATGTTAATGTTTTATTGTTCATGGGTGAGAGAAGGGATTTTTTTAACCAAGTGTTGTTGAACAGTTGTGGGTATCTATTTTAAAGTTTACTTTGCACCTACAGTGAAAGTGGAAAAGTAGGTCTGAGCACTTTTTTGCACAGGCCAATTGACTGCAATAGCTATTCTGATCCAAATATTCCCTATCAGTTCTGCAGTGGACAGTGCTCGGATAAAAAAAAATAAAAAATTCAGTTTTTGAAATACATTAAATACTGTGAAACAAAGTAATTTTTCTGGAAGCAATGCTTGTTTAGGAAATTTTTCTGGGCAATTTTCCTGGATAAGTGAACTCAAAAGAGTTTAATCATACAGTCTGACTTGGTCAATGACTCAACTCAAACATAGAGCCTAGCATAGTGGCATCCTTCCAGCGCCCAGTCATGCTTTGGGCAGGAGGTTGGACTAGATGACCCACTGACATTCTTTCCAACCTGTATTATTATTGTGTAAATGCACATCTTACAACCCTATACGTTATTTGTCTCAACAATTTAAAGAATAAAGACAAAGAAAAGACAGTTAAGTCTTGGTCAACAGCTGTTTTGAAACAAAGAGAACTAGATAAAATGTGTAACCGTTAGCTATGTGGGAAATTAAGAAAGAACAGACATTTAGGTTTACAGTTTTTAAACTTAGTGGTGGATATGTTTAAGCTACATGTGTTGAAGAAAGCAGAGAGTGAAGGGGAAGTTTGTAATGCCCAGGACACGGGGTTAGTTTCTTATTTATAGCAACATATTTTACAGACTGCTAAGCATTGACATTAGCAGCCACTCTGATGTTCTCTGAATGAAGAAAGGGAATTCAGGTGGAAAGCAGAAAAACTGCCTCAGTAATACTTCTGACTGCAATTTTTTTTTTGTGCGGGCTAGGCTAAAATAGTCCTTGTTTTTTGTTATTTGTTATACATACACAGAAGACTGAAACTTTACCTAGAGGCAGTCTAACATGTTTAATATTTTTCTTCCTGATTTTAATTATAACACCACATGTTTTCAGCTTTGGGAATTCATTCATTCCTAAGTGGTTTTTATTACTCTGCAACATTGACCAGCGCTGGTTGCAATGCAGCCATTAAGATGATGCTGCCTCTATAATTCTGCTCACTGAAAGAACTGTGTATATGTTTCCTAATCTGTTTCAAGCAAAGCCACCGAAGTTAATTTAGAAGTGTTGATTTAAAGACCCCTTAAAAGAAATTATCTCATCTACATTCATGGTTTTTTTTTAAATAATGCATGGATCTTCATGTAACTACAGACCAGAGGCTTGTGCACTCTTTCTCAGGCAAAGCTGGTGGGATCCAATAGCTTCAGGGAAGTGATGTCTTACCTGAAGGTGCTGTATGCAGATCCAGATCAGTCTGTGATCCCAGGATAAGCGATGGCCAAAGCATCTGAAGAGAAGCTATTTGAGAGGGAAAGAGAAGAAGGGTCTAAAAGAATCTTTAGTTGCTGCCTTCTGCAAAGTTATTCCTGCCCAGGCTTGTTTTTTTCACCAGAAGCAGCTGTTCAGTGGAAAGCCCATGTGAGCTTTATGTCCCTTGGGATTCCAGCCATGTGCTTTCTTAAGAATTCAGAGGAGTGGATTTTGAGATTTTAAGAGGAATAGTAGAGTCTAAATCTGACCTAACTGCCATGAAGATTCAGCATTAACCTTTTCTAGCCAGCTTACCTCAATGTATGACTAAGCACCTCTAATAATTGTAGATGAAATAGTGTTTAATTGTGTAAGTGATCTTGTCTTGTAGGGCTTAACTGTAGCACCCAGTCCCTGCTTTGCCACAGAAAAGAAAATCAGAATTGTTAAATAGACCTGTTTAACAAGAAATTAGGGTTGGCATATCGGTATTATTTGATTTCTCCATTTTAAGTGTATTTAGGACTGGGCAAGGTTTTCCACAGAGTGGGAACAGCACATGGCAATGGTGGTACATGTTTGTCAAGGTTTAACCCCAGCTGGTAACTAAGCACCACACAGCCACTCACTCACTCCCCCCCTACAGTGGGATGGGGG